GTGGGTTTTGGGTTCTTACGGTAGGGATATTTTTCCATTGCCCTAGCACGAAGCGGCAGCCATGTCTTCCAACTACAAGCATGTCATGCCCGATGACGATGAGGAGACCTAGCAGGGAGTTACGGCGGCTTAGGTTTAGGGTTTAGGGTTTCACCGCGTGGTTGTTTATATGTGCCCCGATTGCCGGGACCCAGACCCTCTCCCACGTAAATCACCGTAGGGGCTGAAAGGGGGGGGCGGGGCGCGGTTAGGGTTTAGTTGGGGCAGAACCGCACCAAACCCCATGAGCTGCTATGGCAACCCTGCACTACAGTAAGCATTGTGTTCTTTTTTTACGTAATTAGAGTATCCCTTGTAGTAGGTCAGCACTGCGTCCGGAATCACATCTCCCCTCAAGGAGACGGCGCTGCAGTCGCTAGAGGAGAGTAGTGAGCTCAAGGCTTTTTCTGGTCTCTGGGGGTGGGGGGGGGGGCGAGGCGTAATAATTATGTAGGCCCTAAGGAATCAGAAGACGGCTGTGCCGTATTTTATACTAGCATGAGAACGTGTATCATTGCTACTTAGCTTCCAACTCCCATGGTACGTGGACAGACGCTGAAGTGAGCTATTGGGTGCGTACATGTTGAGGTGAGGATCTGTGAGTTAGGGCTATAGGGCTCAAAAAGTTAGAGCTTGGATTTCGGGTTTGGGGTAGAGAGGCTGAGGTGCTAGGGACTTCGGAATTAACGTTACAGGCATAAGCATTGCAAGCGCAAGGAGGGAGGTATCACCCTAAACCCTAAACCATGGGGGTTCTGCAAGTTAGTGGTGATGTTGGGATTCCTCACTTTGTGAGACTCCCTTGAATTGCGTTCTTTGGAGCTCGCTGCTCTAATATAGGGACATACACAATTACCTATGTTACTTTGGGGGTTCCTTATATCAAGTATAGTACAAGATACCCCAAAACCCTGTTCTAAGTATTAAGACTGCTATTTTGGCTGCCTGGCTTGTCGGCAAACCCTCAGGCCTTAAACGCGCATGAACCCCTGAACGCCGGAAGCACACACCCAAACCACCACCCTGTGATGTTCCAACTTTCTGCAAGCCCTGGCCCCCCTATGGAAGCCTGATTTCTAGCCCCCACTTAAAGGATCATGGGACTTAGTAAGTAAGGTTATAAGTCCCTTAATTGGGGTTATAAATATAGTTGCCTTAGTTATAACCCTACTTACTAAGTCCCATGATCCTTTAATGAAGCATTGAAGTTTCGGGATTTGATCTTTGCAGGAACTAAACCCTAAACCCTAAACCCTAAACCCTAAACCCTAAACCCTAAACCCTAAACCCTAAACCCTAAACCCTAAACCGTATCGGACCTTGTCAGATCCGTGGGTCAAGTTGTGTGGCCTGGTAGAGAGCTCTGTCAGCTCAAGTCCAGGGTTTCGGGGTTTAGGGAGTAGGATTGGGTTTAGGATTTATAGGGTTTAGGGTTTAGGGCTTACAGGATGTATAGGGTTTAGGGTTTAGGGTTTACAGGATTTATAGGGTTTAGGGTTAGTTTAAGAAGGGTGCCCCATCTGTTGAGGACCCTAAACCCTAAACCCTAAACCCTACAGAATCTGTTGAGGCCCAATCTTCCCGCGCACGGACCTGGATCTGTGCTGCTGTCTGTCTGCTGCTCCTACTCTTCGGAGCACTCGGCGCAGCATTAGGGTTTAGGGTTTAGGGTTTAGAAAAATCATATTTTTTGCAGCCCCCTTTCCATTCAGTTCTAGTGATTCCAACCCCAAACCCTATAAACCCTAAACCCTGATTCAAGGGTTTTTGAATCTGAAGGCTGGTCCGCCTCTCGGAAGGCCTTCCTTCTTCTCACCCAAACCCCCGAAGCCCTGAACCCTCAATCCTTACCTATAGTCTCCATTGTAGTTCCTTTCTTGAATTAACCAGTTTTTGGGTTTAGGGTTTAGGGTTATAGTTTCCATTGTAGTTCCTTTCTTGAATTAACCAGTTTTTGGGTTTAGGGTTTAGGGTTATAGCCTCCATTGTAGTTCCCTTTTGGGGTTGCCTTATAGGATCCTAATTATAAAATTGGTT